TCATCCTTTTACACTCTACTGCTGGCTACTTAAATTGGTGTTTTTGTATTTTCAGTTGATCTAAAGCTTATCAAATGTGCATGGGAACGGTTCAGAAACCTGAGCAGGAAAAGCAGCAGAGAAGGCTGTCCGTAGTGTCAGGGAACTGACCTGCTGTGGGGTGTGAGGGTGTGAATGTTGCATTGTGAGATGGGGGCGCTGGTGGGGGACAGAGGACAGGACGAATGGGAGAGGGGGAGATGGGCAGATTCTTTCCATATGAAGGAAAGCAGCACAGAGAGGTAGCATCTTGAGATTGTGAACAACGAGTGCTGTTCAACATACTCAACTCACTAGGTTTTCACCAATAGATAAGCTTAGCCCAAAACCTTGGTACACTGACTAGGGCATATATTACATCCAATGTGCTTAGATCACCAATATTAGATTGTTAGGTAACTGCCCAGGTCGAACCTAGTTCAACATGGATATTAGATTTTCTGTTTCAAAAGAAATGCATTTTACCTAGCATAATCCTGCCTTAATTTGTAAACCATTCCATTCTTTTAAAATGTAAATACATTTCTAAAATGCCCTTTCATGGGAGATAATTACTTATAAAATGTGAAAACTGAAAGGGATCTACACTAAATTTCCATTATTTTTTCTCTGAATGATAGTTACTAAATCGTACCAAGAAGAACTGATGAATCAAAATGGGTGCCTTTTAAGCTTTTTTATGGGAAAATAAATTCTATAATCAGGTTTGGTCAAAACAGAGTTTTAGAAGTTAATCTCACCTGGACCAAGTTGTAAATGCACTCAATAGAATTCTTCTTCACATCAGGGTCTGGGCTGCTCAGCAGTCTGACGAGAGGCTCTAATCCACCATGTTCAAATATTTGCACTTTGCTGGTGTACTCCGCAGACATGTTTGCTAGGCAAAGACTAGCAAACTCATGGATAACTACTTCTTCTGCATATCAAAAATAAATAACTCAAGTACAATAAATGTCTACTCAATCATTACTTTAGAGCACGTTTTGAAAACCAGGCTCCACAAATCTTACCTGGGTGGAGCTTATCTTGGTTTGAGAGATTTTAATGACAATTCACCATTGGTATTTCATAATCTATTTTCAATAAGTAGTATAATCAAATGTGAAAAATAAAGCAATCCCATTTGCGAAATGCATAATGGATGCCAAGTTACCTTCTGGAGCGAGCAGAGCAATGACAGAATTCATGACATCTAACTCTCTTAACAGCTTTTTAACATCACCTACAAAAGAAGAAACAGGATATTAACATTTATCAATAATAATAGTAATGGCCATGTCTACTGAATAGTCCCTTATGAGATAGGTTCTATTATTATTTAATTTTACAGATAAGGAAATTGAGGCTCAAAACCACACAGCAAGTGAATGGGGGGTCCAGGTTTCACGCCCAAACCCTTGACCCCAGACAGACTCCAGCCTCTGCTCCTTGGTCACTGAACTATTATACTACCTTCTAAAACACTAGAAAAAATAACCATGAAAGGGCAAAATGTGCCTAGAACACATATTGGTAAAGTTGAGTTACTGTACGCTACACTTGTTTATTATGTAATAGTAATTCTTTTTTGTTGTTTTGTTGAAAAGGTATTTTTGCATTTTAATAAAACTTACACAGAACGCAAGTAAGAATTATCCTCAGCCTTTTTTGGATTAATACATCTTGTTTACCTTTCATTTTACCATCAAAAATGCCAAAAATGCTTAGAGATAAGTATATCNATACCAACTATGACCACATGACCAGTTACAGAAAAGAAGCCGTAATTATCATGAAGATTTCTTCCTTGTTTTGTTATGAATATGTATGTGTGTATGAAACATCTTTGTTTTCTTCCCTCTCATCCCCTTACATAAGAGGTATTGACTTTATAAACTAATATTTAAGTATTGTTAATTTTACATCATAGGATTTAAGTTAGAAGATATCAAGGACAAGAGTAAACATCATCCAAGGACTTTACATCCTCTTCTGAGGAAAGAGTGTGCATTTTCATTTGTACGCAGGATAGTTACACCATGTTTGGCAGAAATGTGACCTTGTTATTGTCTTTATTTGGAGATTAAATGTGATTTAAGGAGATGTGTATGGCTGCCAAACTGACAAGCGATGGACTTATGATGGTTAATTTTTATGTTTTTACTTGGCTAGACTGTGTTGTTCAGATACTTGGATTATTCTAGATCTAACAAATTTAATTTTTTAGATGAAATTAATATTTAAATCAGTAGACTGAATAAAGCAGATTACCCTCCAAAATGTGGGGTAAATTACTCTTCTTCCTTTACCCTAGAGAAAACTATTGCAGATAAAGATTAAAAGACTAATTCTAGGCATTTCAGGAAGTCATGATGATCATAAACAACAATTTAAAAAATCTTAAATCTTCTAAACCTGAAGATTTTAATTGAAGTATAATTTACATATAATATCATATTAGTTTCAAGTATACAACATAATGATTCAATATTTGTATATATTACAAAATGACCACCACAATAAGTCTAGTTAACATCTGTCATGATACATAGTACAATTTTTTCTTGTGATGATAACTTTTAAAATCTGTTTTCTTAGCCACTTTCAAAGAGACAATGCAATATTATGAACTATAGTCGCCATGCTGTACATTACATGCCCAGGACTTATTTTATAACTGGAAGTTTGTACCTTTTGACCCCCTTCACCCATTTTGCCCACACCCTCAATCCTGGCCTCTGGCAACATTTTCTCTGTACATAGATACAGTCTTTTCTCTGTATCTATGATCTTGGTTTTTTGTTTTTGTTGAGGTTTCACATATAAATGAGATCATATGGTATTTGTCTTTTTCTGTCTGACTTATTTCACTTAGCATAATACCCTTGGTGTCCATCCACATTGTAGCAAATGGCCAAGATTGCATTCTTTTTTATGGCTGAATAACATTCCATTGTGTGTGTATATCCATTGATGGACATTTAGGTTGTTTCCGTATCTTGGCTATTGTAAATAATGCTGCAATGAATGTGGGGGTGCATATATCTTTTCAAGTTAATGTTTTCATTTTATTCAGGTAAATACCCAGAAGTAGATTTGCTGAATCATATGGTAGTTAT